GGGGAATGTTGATGTTAATCCAAACTTAGTCAAACTCAAGTGATTATCTTTAAGGGTATTTTAGTCTTTTTAGAGTTTGAATAAGTAAAGGCCATGTAGGCCACGTTTGTTTAGCAGATCTCTTAGAATAGTTTACATAGAGTTAGTTAGTTAGCTCTTTATTTTGTTGCTTTTGACTAGGTAGACGTGTTTTGATTCCTCTGTATATATTGTATGCTATTATATTGAATGAGTAGATGCAAGAGTTTAGAAAGATGTAACCTACTGTGTAGTTTTGTTCCAACAAAGACATTATGTGTTATTTCATGAAACTCAAACCTACAACCAGAAACTTTATTGTGGAAGATAGAATCGTGTGGTTGGAAATTTATGGTCCTCCTTTATTTGCTTGGGCTTCTGGTGCTTTCAAGAAAGTGACAATTTTATAGTGGGAGGTTTTATTCATTGATGAGGATGTACAAGAAAATGTAAGTGTTGGTCGTATATGTGTTAAAACTAAAGAACAGAAGATTATTTTTGAAATGGTGGAGGCAGTGCTACATGGTAGAAAATATGAAGTGAGAGTAAGAGAATTATCTTCTTAGGTTACCAAGATCAAAAAAAACTCAGAAGATGCTGAAAAGAAAAATAAAAAATGGTGTGATTATTCAGATGATGATGCCAGTGAACATGGGAGCGAGGAAGGGGAAATATTGCTAAAGATGTTTCTTATAAAGAAATGTCGTCACACAAAGACCAACTTAACTCAGGAGCGAATGATGGGCCTGTGATTGAAGTCCGCCCATATGACAAGCTTAAAAATTCTGATGTGTGCATTCGTGTCTTAGACTCTCCTTCGGTTCCACCTGGTTTCAATGGAATCAAATTCCAAACGAATGTTAAGGTTGCTTCAGCTGGAAAGGGCAATTGTGGGGAAGAATCATTCCGAAAAGAGAAATTGGTCTCCTCTTTTTCTGCGATGTCTCTTGCTGGAAAGAGTGTAAAAGATTGACAGAATATAATTGCCATGAGAATGGATGGAGGTTCCGTGATTGATGGATGGGTTAACACATTAGATAGAGATCGATCTAGCTCTAGGCCATGATATGTCATGTTGCTCAAAAACTCTAGAGGCGTTAATTCAAAGTATGGGAGAGAAAATGGTGGATCGATGAATTTAATGTCGCTCAACTCATGTGGTATTGGATATAGTTTCAAACGACGTCTCATTATCAAGTTATTATGTGCGTTGCATGGTATGCGGAAGGAGATGAGAAGTCTAACTTTTACCACGCTATGCTAAAAAGGAAAAGAAGGGTTCTGAACATTCGAGGCGTGAAGCATGTTGGCGACCGGATCACGATTCCTTCACAAGTTAAACATATTTCTTTTCGTATTTTCAAGAATAGTTTGGTCGGGTGGATGGTGTTCACCTTCAAAACCGTAACATTCATTTTAAAGACTCTTGGTTCTCCAAGCTGAGGAGCTTATTCAAAATGTTACTGTGAGTGAAGTTAGGGATGCTTTTTGGTCTTGTGGAAGTGAGAAGGCGCGTGACCCGGATGGTTTTAACTTAGCTTTTATAAAACACTTATGGTTTTTAATAGAGAAAGATATTATGGAGGTTGTTCATGAGTTTTTTGATTCGGCTTCTATTCCTATGGGATGTAATTCTTCGTCCATTACCCTTATTCCAAAAGTGGATAGTCCTATTATTGTTACTGATTATTGCCCGATCAGTCTTAGTTGAGTGCAATGCAATATAAAATTATTGCTAAGGTTTTCGCAAATCGGCTTGCTAAAGTGGTGGATAGTGAACAACCAGTTTTTATAAAAGGTTGTCAGATTCTTGATGGTCTGATTATGCTCAATGAGATTATCGATTTGTATAAAAAGAAAAAGAAACAATTGATGTTTTTTAAAGTGGATTTTGAAAAAGCTTACGACTTTCTGAGTTGGGATTTTTGGATCATATCATGTCTTTTATGGGTTTCCCCATCAAATGGCATGCATTGATTTGTACTTGTCTTCACACTTCTAGATCTTCTATTTTGGTTAATGGGAGCCCGCCTAAAGAGTTTTATATGGAGAGAGGTGTTCGACAAGGAGATCCTCTTTTGCCTTCTCTTTTTTATTTTGGCTATATATAGAGGGTTTATATGTGGCTATCATGGACGCCATGAAAGCTAATCTTTTTACTAGAGCTGCAGTTGACAATCATAATTTTATTAATTATGTCCCATTTTTATGCAGATGACATTATTTCTTAGGTGATTAGTCTCAAGAAAATGTGGATAATGTGGTGCGTATTCTTCATTTTCTCCCTCTAACTTTGGGCCTTCGTCTAAATTTACACAAGTCTAATCTGTTTGGGTTGGGAGTAGATGAGGCTAAGGTCAATCTGTTGGCAAAGGGGACTGGTTGCAAGGTAGGTTAATTTCCTTTAGTTTACCTTGGTATTCCCGTTGCTGAGAACATGGCTAGAGTTGCAGGGTGGACATTGATTATTCAGAAATTTGAGGAAAGACTTGGCAAATGGAAAATTCATTTACTTTTTATTGGAGTGAGATCTATGCTTTTAAAGGTTGTTTTAGGTTCTTTATGAATTTATCTCTTTTCTGTTTTCCTTCTGCCAACTACAGTTTAAAAAAAAAAAAAAAAATACCTGGAGAGTTTGAGGTCTCGTTTCTTTTGGGTTCTGATGCTGATGTCAATAAAATTCTTTGGGTGAAATGGGACCTCGTTATGGCGTCTAAAGATAAAGGAGGTTTAGATATTGGTAGCCTGAAGAATTTTAATCATGCTCTTGTCTAAAATGGTGATTGGGATATCTTACTGATAAGGGTTCATTGTGGGTTAAAGTCATTAAATCGGTCCATAATAAACACAATGGGATTCGTTTTGGTGATTCCATGGGTCATAGATGCGGGTGTGTGGGCCAGGATATTGAAATCACTTAATTATATTCATGTGGCAGGTGTTATCCCTCATAGTGCAAATATTTGGGTTCTTGGTGAGTTGCTCGATCTGCTTTTAGTATGATATCTGGATTGGAAATATGTCAAAGATTCCCACGTCTTTTCTCTTTAGACCTGAATAAAGATTGTTTCATCTTAAATCGTAGGCATGAGGGTGGTTGGCAGTGGGAGTGGAGGCGTGACATAAGGGGAGGGTCAAAATCTTATTAACTCATGGAATTAGACTCTCTGGTTGAGAATGTTACCATTAAATACCATGCAGATTCGTGGAGCTGGAGTTTGAATAACATGTGAGTCTTCTTGGTTGTTGATGTTAGGAAAGCTCTTGATGACTTTTTTTCTTCCTATTTCAGTTTTCAAAACTAGATGGAACACTTTTGGGCCTAGAAAAGCCAATATTTTCATTTGGAGGTTGATGTTAAATCGGTTTCCTGTTAGACAATCTCTAGTTGATAAATGAATTGATGTTCCTTTGATTACTTGCCCTGTTTGTAATGGAGATTCAGAAACTACTTCTCATTTGTTCCTGTTTTGCGACCTAGCTACTCAAATATGGCATAATATCTTCAGATGGTTGGTACGATTATCTGTGCCTATGACATCGACCTCTCAGAGTTTTTTGTGGTTGGATTCACAGCCTTTATCGCGTGGTAAGAAGAAAATGGTGGATCTGATTATAATTTCTATGCTTTGGGTGTTATGGTGTTATCGGAATGATGTGGTTTTTGGAGGAAATAAGTATCGAAGACAAACATTTTTTGATTCTATTAGGTATCTTTCTTTTTCTTGGTACAAGTCTAGGAATAAAAAATGTAATGTCCCAATGCCTTTCTAGTGTAATTGTACTTTTTCTTCTACTTTCTTGTTAGAGGCACTTTTGTTTTCTAATATCTTTCAGTCGTTCAAAAAAAGGAGAACGATTTGGCAAAGACTCTATTACATCCATGGTGGTCGAAATTGAAGATGTTCAAGATTTTGAATTTTATTTTTCTTTTTTTATTTTAATTTAAGAGTTTTTTTTCTCTAAACAAACGACCATCTGATGCCAACTAGATTCAGATAACCGGCTAACCTCTTCATATTTTGAATATTGACATTTTTAACACATACAAATCAAGTTTATTCATTTATAAAGACAAAAAATAACATGAAGTACCTTTTAAACAAAAAATGATTAGTTTGATAGGCTATAATGATATTATCTAATGTTATTAAAAATGTGATTTTGATCGTAGAAATGCATGATTCTACGATCCCACATCTATGTTTAGATTCCTATCTTAGCAAACTCATTTTTTGGTATAATCATAGTAGAATCGTAAAATCAAACTGTGGAATCGTAAAGTCGTAAACATTCCGATTCTACCTATAATATTTTGTTTCCCATCAACTTTCATTCTCATTTAATTATATAATTAAATGAGTATAATTCCAAAACTCTAAAAGAAAACAACAAACATAAAGCAACGATTAATATAGTTGAGCTACGATTAATATACTTGAGTTGTTGATGTTTCAAAAATGAATTACTTAAAAGAGATAAGCATGAAATATAATTTCATGATTTGTAAATAACTAAATATACTTGTCATTTATTATTTTTTTTAATTTCATTTTAACAATGATAGTTCAGCCATTAACAATTTAGCACATTAGTAACATAAACAAAATAGTCCAATAATTCACAAAAAAAAAAAAAAAAAATAATGAATAGTCATATTGTATATATAATGTTTTTGGCTATGCTAGTTTTGATTAAATGTGATGTTTTGAAAAGTGCATACATAATTGATGTTAGATAATTAACCAAAAAAACAAAATCTTCATATTTTATATTGTTTTTTGGATTTGTTTGGATACCCCAATGAAAACTAATTAAAACTAACACTAGCAATATTTCATTGGTACACTTTTATAATTCCCATTCGATTTTACAATCACAATTTTTCAAACCTAAAACAAATTTACATTAAATCTCGATTTTGCAAACCTTTATATTATCCCTAAAATTTATCCTAATTTTAGTTTGTTTTGGATGTGAAGGTTGATATCTTGAAAATAGGTCCAAGTGATTTCAGGTCATTATTTATCTGTCTATAACAAAAAGATATTAATAAAAAAAACCAACTTGCGATCCGTGTCCCCCTTTCATCGACCCATCTAAAGATCTAATCATCATTTTCTTTTTCCATAGTTTCTCCATACTTCCAGTACAATTTTTAATCTAGGGTTTTTAAATTCCGTTAATGGCGCTCTCACATCCCTAAATTGGACACAACATCCATCGCCATGGAAGCTCGTAGCTATAGTAATGCTGCCGCATCCGCACCAGATGGCGGTACTGCTGCTCCACCGCCTGCACCGCCTCCGATGTCCAGTGTCAATGCTCCACCGCCCTTCTTGGTCAAGACTTACGATATGGTGGATGATCCTGCTACCGATAAGGTTGTTTCTTGGAGTGCTACGAATAACAGCTTCGTCGTCTGGGACCCGCCCGAGTTCGCTAAAGACCTTTTGCCCAAATACTTCAAGCACAATAACTTCTCCAGCTTTGTTCGACAGCTTAACACTTATGTATCATCCTGTTTCCCTTCTTATTGAATTTCAAGTTACTGTTGACATGATTCTCTGATTGCTCTGTATTCGATTGGTTATGTTTCTAATTGCGGTAAATGATTATATGTTAACAGATTCGTAAACTTCAATCACTTTTCATGTATATATGTTCATGATTATATCTTAACAGATTTGTAAACCTCAATCTGCAAATTTTCCCATTTTCAGATTGATCTTTCTGGTTGACTGGTTGTCAGATTATATTCTTGAGTATCAGTCTGCACTTCTGTTGTTTATGTTGGATTTTCAGTGGATCTTATAGGTTGAATTAGTCTGAGATTGTCACCTTCCAATTGTCATTTTCATACCATAATCGGAAAAATGCACTCAATCCTTTTTGGTTACCTTTTTGTTAGTTGGAGCGATATACTCATATCTGTATAAAGCCATAGCAGCCCTAAAACATTGATTAGATAATGTTGGCTTCATTTCTCTTTCACCTGCTATATATTTATTATAACCCTATTTCATAAGTTTGATCGTCATTCTATTCTTTCTTTTGAGGTGTTTCCAAACAGGGGTTTCGAAAAGTCGACCCTGATCGATGGGAATTTGCAAACGAAGGATTCTTACGAGGCCAAAAACACCTACTCAAAACCATCGTCCGCCGGAAATCCACCTCCGGCCACCACCAACCACCGCCACAGCCCCACCAACAAACCACCTCTGTAAGTGCATGCGTTGAAGTCGGAAAATTCGGTCTAGAAGAAGAAGTAGAAAGGCTAAAAAGAGACAAAAACGTCCTGATGCAAGAACTCGTGAGATTAAGACAACAACAACAAAGCACAGACAACCAAATGCAATCAATGGTGCAACGCCTTCAAGGCATGGAACAAAGGCAACAACAGATGATGTCATTTTTAGCAAAAGCAGTCAACAGCCCTGGATTCTTAGCACATTTTGTACAACAACAAAACGAAAGCACAAAGTTAATAACAGAAGGGAATAAAAAAAGAAGGTATAAAGAAGAAGACAGGGTCATTTCAGACAATTCATCCGATGGAAGAATTGTTAAATATCAACCAATGATGAATGATGCTGCACAAGCAATGCTTAAACAGATCATGAAACTAGACACTGCATCACCACGTTTAGGTCCTTTCACTTCAGGGGTAACTCTCCAAGAAGTCAACCCACCACCAGCCTCCGGTCAACCCTATCTACCATCAGTCACCGGTGTAGTATCCGCACCTCTAGAACCAAATTCCAATCTCATTGCAACAAATCAGAGTCCGCTAGCGGATGGTCAACAGCTGCCCGAACTGCCCGAACTACCCGAACTGTCACAGTTGCAAGAAATGGTGCCCGGACTGTATCCTGAAACACAGAACATGGTGGATGAGAAGCTTCAGTTAGAAATTGGGGGGTTTTCGCCTGATGTGGATGTAGAATGGGACAATAATTTGCTGATCGAAATGGAGAAATATCTGACCGCGTATGACCCGTCTTGGGAGCAGTATATTGAGGGCAGCCCGGAGGTTGACACGGTTGATGACATGGACGCGGGCCCGGGCCTGGGCCCAGTGGATGATGTCATGAATGGTGTTGATAGCAAATCTTCGGAAAGTAGTGAGTGTTCGAGGTCTCAAGTGCAACAGCTTACTACACAAATGGGGCTTTTGTCTTCAAATACTAGAAAATCTTGAAGCCATATATACAAGGTAAAAATCCGAAAAAGAATTATGATATTTGTGGTAGTTGTAGTGTGTTTTTTTTTTTTTTTTTTTTTTTGCCCTGGAAGGCAAATCTTGAATCAAGTAGGAGCCTAGGAGGTCAGAAATATTACCTGAGATCAGCTAAGTTATATACTTTTTAATTATGTAACAAGGCGACAAATTAGATGTTGAAATGAAGCTTAAGTGCGTGACTAATTTAACCTTTCAAAGTTATATAAATATGTGTGTATTTGATATTAATGATGCTCAAAGAAGAGCTTCTTGGGTTGTACTTGCCAATTGCCATTGTAAAATAAATTCTTGAACCTTTAAAATGTATGACTAATGATATTGTTTTTGAAAAAAATGTTATGTTTCAAGGAAAATACATTGCTAGTTATTGCGTTTAGACCAACTCTAATATTATGAAATGGAACTGAATGCAGATCATTGATTTGAGATAACATGAGAGTTGGGTATTCCTTTTCCTAAATATGGACTTCAGGACTTTCTTTTCAACCATCTTTGGAGGCGGCAAGGGTATATTAGTCTTTTCCGGTAGGAGATACTCAACAACAATACAAATTGTGTCATCCGATCCTTTTTCATTTGTGTAGCTTTCTGCACATGAAAACCAAGCATTTAAATCTGAATGTTCAAAAATACCAACAAAAATCATACTTTTTATAACGTTACTTTAATAATCCAATTAATTAGACTTCTTTTTATCAACGCATAACCTTTCCACTTGTACAACTTCTTCCACTTGAAAACCAACCTATTAATCTCAATGTTCTAATTACAATATCAAATGGGAAATAGAACAATAAATATTTGATTTTTTTTTTATCTAAATATCTATTTTATTCCATTCCATTCTTACCAACCAAACTCCTAACACATTTTTAACGTCAACATCTAACAATGCATATTAGAAAATCACTATTGTCATGACCTGAAGCTTGTTCTGCCTTGTAAGATATCAAAGCAAACTCATAAATATGAAGTCGGGCCTGTCCCAAACAACCGGAATATAATGTCCATTTTTTTTTATTAACAATACAAAATTGCAAAAATGGTCCCTGTGGTTGGTAAAATCCTGTAGTTTTGGTCCAAAACGAAATGTTGGTGCACAACTGGTTCAATTCTAGATATCTTGTGTGGTTTTGGTCCCTATAGTTGTATTTTTTTTTTTTTGTATTTTTGGTCTACATCCCACCTAAAATGATTAATATGCCCCTTAAATAATTATATTTTAATTTCTTTTATTTATTTTCTTGTTTTTATAATAAAATGAAAAAAAAACTCTCTCTCTCTCTCTCTCTCTCTCTCTCTTATTGTTTTGCTCGACTCCTGCTTTCCTCGAAGCCACAACTCCGGTAAGATGAGCTAACAGTCGAGGACGAGAAATATCGGTTGTCAACCTCTCCACCTCCCCTCGGTTGCTGAGCAAACCCACGAACCTCCTTATGTTGTGTTGTTTTCGATTTACCCTTTCCCTCCCTTTCTTCTCCGTTTTTCTACCAACCTCTCCACCTCCCCTCCTATGGCTTATTGTGTGATGTTGCAGAGCGTCGATATGCACATTTGGGTTTACAATATGTACAACAAATCCAATCAAAAAACAACATTTTAGAAGATTATTATTCTTTGGAGCAATCTGTCAAACAGTTGGTGTATGCAACAGTTACAAATTGTTTTGGATTATGCTTTATGCTTTTGATTGATAGTGTGACATCCTCATTTTCACGGTCAGAAAAGACTGATTTTTGTTTATGCTTTATAAAAATCAGAGTACTTCTTTTAATAAAAATGTTGCGGAATTTGTTCCCAGAAAAACATGATAAATACGTTATTAAAACATTTTCGAAGAAACGTATTTTATTCATTTCAAAACGTTTGGGATGTCATCGTTAATACAGAAACATAAGCATAAACAGAACCTACATTTATTTACACTAGTGATCTACATCTCTTTAAATCTCTCAGTGTAAAGTGACTTCGTATCAACACCTGTGATATAAATAAAATGAGTGGGTCAGGTTGGGAAACCTGGTGAGTACATAAGGTTTTCAACCCACAATAATATAATTATTATGTTTAAACAATCAAACAATCAACCCAATTACCCATCCTCATTATCTTCTTTAGTCTTAAGGATCTACCCTAAGAATCAGGCAATCATCTATTCCTCGTTTATTTATCCCTAAGGATCATCCTAAGGAATCGACACGAAGTCCATCATTACCAAGGCTTATAGAATATATCTGGTGAACACGTAGTCCAAAACATTTGGTAAACACTTAGTTCAAAAGTAACTAGTGAACACACTTAGTTCAAAATACCTAGTGAACACACTCAGTTCAAAGATACGTAGTGAACACACTCAGTTCAAAATACCTAATGAGCACCTAGTTCAAAAACACCTACAGGTTACGAGTTTACTAGCGTTCCACCGGACCGTCTAGTATCGCCCATGATCATCATCTATACTCCACTAGATGACTGGATCACTGACAACATTGATGTCTCCCATCGTGTTATCACAAAACAACTATTTCACCTACCCATGTTTTACCCAACACATTTTGTAGATATAAAATACATATACAGTTTAAATCATTTAAAACATGTATAAAAATCTTTCACCCAGCATAGACAGCAAGTATTCAGATAATATGCACACACATCACGTAATTTATATTAAAATACTTCTTGTCTGTGTGTAAGATGAAAGGGACTATGCACTCACCTGAAAAGTGGCGACTCAGCACTCGGACAGCGCTTCGATATTCTCAAAACAACTTTCCTTCGATAAAACCTAGTACCAATACCACTAGGGTTCAGTCTAACGATAACCGCGGCAATTTAGTTAGTCTGACCATTATTATTATTATATAAGCGTTAATAACACTCAATATAACTCATAATTATAGCCAAATAATTATTTTAAGGACTTAATAACATTCCTATAATTATTTGAAAGCTATATTAAAATTTGCGTAAGCGTAGCACACTTACATCAAATTTTATCGAAAACCGGAACTTAATTAGAGCAACGTTTCGAAACCGAAAGGCTCTTTTTTCTCGGGACTGTGGGAGCCTCGGGGCTTCCCTCGGGTGCTAGGTATTTTTCCTAGGGCTTAGGGGTGGTTTGGGAGCTAGAGAGAGAAAGTATTTTAGAGAGAAAATGAGAAATGGTGTGTTTTGGTCGGCAACCCTCGCTTCTATTTATAGCCTCAGCAGCCTCGGTTACGCAGGGCATAGTTCCGAGGTACGTTGGGCGTAGTTCGCATTGGGCTACCAGATGGCTTCGTACGAGACACGTGTCGGACATCGGCTGGAGTTACGCGGTTTCTTGTGGACCGAGGGTGGCAGCTGTACGCGGCGCGTACTCAGCTTCGGACGTTGGGCGTAAGCGAGACTTCGTGGCGATCATCGGATGCGATGTGTGATCAGCAAGCAACGGTCCATATCATGCCACGTCATCGATTTAGCAACAGACTTCGCAAATTTCACTCTCAACTTCTAAAAATCGTAACTTTCGCATACGAGCTCCGTTTTTTACGTTCTTTATATCCACACGAAGGTGGGAATGTACTCTACAACTTTCGTTTAGACTTCATCGGCTAATTTTGGCTCAATTTTAAATTTTATATTATTAACAGGCCGGGACATGATTGGTCCGTTAAATTCTCATAACTTCTTCATCCGACGTCCGTTTTCGCCCATCTTTTTCTCGTTACGCTACTCTTAACGAGATCTTCGATTCCCGTTTAGTTCGTGTAGGCCAAAAACTGCTCGATCTAATATTCAAATTCCGGGTTGTATACTGCTAGTCCGAAACTTCGAAAAATCATAACTTCTTCATATAAAGTCAGATTTGGGCGTTCTTTTTATTGATGTTCTTAGTTTAACACATTATACGAATTTTGTTTAGACCGCTAAGGCTAAATCTCGTCCTATCATAAATTCACTATTTACGCTTCCCGGTGCCGTGCCGGTTCCGTCGCGAAACTTCGACGAGTCATAACTTCTTCGTTATAACTCGGATTTCGATGTTCTTTATATGTACGGAAACCTTGTGACATACTCTACAACTTGGTTAAGATTATTTATTCTAAATAATATTTTGTCGAAAAGTCGTTTTCGACCCCTATTGCCTCTAATTTGACTAGCTCGAATTTGCGGACGTTACAGATAGCAATAGGAAACAAATCGTTTTCATTTGTCAAGATCTCATAGTGAGGGTTGGTGTTTGATCGTCGTCATGGGGGGAAAGACGGGGTGGCAACCAGTGGTTCTTGTGAGGTTAATGTTGTTGGATTAGTGTCTAAGCTAGTAACCATATTTGGTAAGTACTTGACCCGGTTGTACATGGTCCTTTTGGGTTGTCTTCACCAAAGTAACTTGATTGGAGAAATGATAGAGAAAGAGGTTATTATGGTTTATTAATATATTATAAGAATAATAAATTAAAAGAGAAATCATATTTATTTAGTTAACATTGATCAAGAATTAATTAAGAATTAATTTTATGATTAAAATAAGTTAACTAAACTAGGGGGATGAATTGTAATTATGTGATAGTTGCAAAGTAGGGCAAAGGATGCCCTGTGGGATAAGGCAGACGAATTCAAGGGGATAAGGCCTTAGAATTCGTCCATGATAAGGCTTCTGGACTTATTTATGGGCTGCTTGGTGGGCAAGCAACCAGATAAGGATAAGGACTGAAACCCTAATCCCTACACCTATATAAGGACCCCTTGGCTTAGGAAAATCGGCCACTTGATCCTAGAAGTTCCTAGAGCCGATTTTCTGCCTCCTCCCCCCCCCCTCTCTCTCTCTTGCCTCTCCATTTGCTCTTGGTGTTTGTGAGTCATTAGAGGTACTACACTTGTGGTACTTGCTTTCAAAGACATGCAAGAAGATTCAAGATTTAAGTTGTTATTACAACATAGCAACAAGAGGTATGTAATCCACTCTCCGTCATGAATTTCGAAATTTCTAGGAGCATGCTAGGGTTCTTCATGTGTTCATAATGTTGTGTATCTAATAGTGAAAACATAGATCTGTATCTAGGGTTGCATGCACACATAGGATTGTTTGTATAAAACCCATCAGATGCCACCTCTGGTGGGGCTATTGTCATATGAAAAAATAAGAAAGGGAGATAGAGGGGAGGTTGCAGTGGTCAAAGGGTGTGTTTGAGTTGTTGTTGATTAGAAAAAATGGTGAGAAGAGGTGGTTCCTATTGATGTTCGGTGATCACAACAACAAGACCACCACCACTCGTTGGTGGTGGTTGTTCTTGGTAGTGAAAGGAGAAGGAAAACAGAAAACGTGAAGGGTGGGTGGTGCAATCGATTTTACAATACAAGAGGGGGATAGAGAGTGGCCGTTTGTGGTGGTTCACGAAGGTGAGGGGTCACCGGTAGGTGGTTAAGGGTGGCAACCCTTGGGTGTCCCTGTTTCTTTCTTCGTTTCTTTCACCGGTGTGTATTTTTTAGGGTAAATGGCACAAAAAACACTCTTTTTACATAGAAATTCGATTTTGACACCGTATGTTTTTTGTGTCAATTTTGACACTGTGTTTTCCAATTTGTTACAATTCTGACCACTTGACCGGTTAACCAGGTTACATGCTGACGTGGCATGATGATGTGTCAGTTTTGATGACGTGGCATGCTGACATCATATGCTGACGTGTCAAAATTGATTTTTTTCCACAAAAACACTAAGTTTTCACTTTTTTTTTTTCGATTTTGATACTAAGTTTAATTTTTTATTTCAATTTTGATACTATGTTTTTTTGTTCCAATCGAACATCATTTATCAAATTTTATTTAATTTTGTCTATTTTCTATTTGAAACCGTATAAATATAACTTTTTTATTACATTTTAAACCGTATA